GTGTGTGTGTGTGTGTGTGTGTGTGTGTGTGTGTGTGTGTGTGTGTGAGGTCCAGACATGTAAACACAACGTTAACTGCAGATTCTGACCTGTTGTGTTTTCTGACACACACCAAGCTTCGTTTCTTCACACACCGTTCAGCATCGTTCGGCTACTTTTAGCTAGCCTTTTACTACTTTTAGCTTTTAGGTACATTTCTGCTCATTTTGATTTTAGCTAACTTAGCTAGCTTGATTCTTTTGGCGTCTTGATACATTTAGTTTTTTGCTACTTTTAGCTTCTGTCTAACCCTGTGCTGCTTTTAGCTTCTAGCTATCGTTTTGCTACTTTTACATACACTCTTTTTAGTTTTAGCTAATCTTTTGAGGGAAGTAGTGGCGCAGAGGTTAGAAAACGTGGGCCCGTGATCGGAAGGTCACCGGTTCAACTCCCTGGACCGACAACATGAAAAATGTGGGAGGGAAAGGTGAACCACTCACACCTGGGCCCCTGAACAAGGCCCCCGACCCCCACCAGCCGTTCCCAAACAGGTCTCTCTTGAAAATGAATCCTTATGACTCAGTGAGACGACCTGTACAAAGAAAGGTTGAATAAAAAATGAATTTAGCTTTCTTTAGCTTTTAGCCAACATTTTGCTGCTTTCAGCTTGTAGCTAGCGCTGTCCCTCTTTTAGCTTTAACGACTCGGAGCTTTTTCTGTGCTCGTTCAGCTTCAGCGCTGCACTTTCAAATCTTTTCAGCGTTTGTTTCTTTGTTGTGCAGAGCAAGCCGAAGCCACCACCGAGTCCTCGGACCACAACGCCACGTCCTCCACCGAGGCGGACAAACGGGTCAAGAGGAGACTGTCGATGGGTAACAGCCGCACCCCCACAGGACTGAATAATTGTGTTTTCTGTGATAAGAGGCGTCCAGGAGCGGGAAGAGGAGCGATGTGGAGTAAAGCGATACATTCCTCAGTCTTTGGAGCAAACTGTGAAATAACACGGCGCTGACTCTCTCGGCTCCCGCCGCCCTCCTGGAATATATGTATTTGTGACGGTGTGACAGATTTCACATTTTCCTTCTATGTGGGGAAGGGCAGCGTGTGAAGTTTTATTCTGCGTGGTTTGTATTTAATCACTTTGCAATTCAGGCTAACACAGAACCCGTCTCCATCAGGTACAAAATAAAAATATCCTGATGCATGCTCAATAAACAGACAAGCTTCTGTGTTTGGAATGACGTCGTGTCTGACACGGAGACATAACGCAGCTCTTAATCACATGACTGGAACTCCTGTAGCCTTTTAAATCAGTGGTTCTCAGACCAGGGTCCCCGGACCCCTGGGGGTCCGTAAGCCGGTGCTTGGGGGCTGTCAAAAAAAAAAAAAATTAAAAAATTAACAAGCACGTAGACGTTTAACAACCCGTTAAAATACACCAAAGTGCAGAAAATCACATCTACTTTATTCAAAAGTTTTGGGAGGACCCCCAGAAAATTATTATTTAATAAACATTCATTCAACTTTTATTTATACAAGTTAATCCCACTGAGCCTCGGGGACTCATTTACAAGAGAGACCCGATTTCAACAAAGCGTGACGACAACAATGGACAATCATAAGGGATGTGCACAAATTCACTTCATTTGTTTTTTTACAAGTGAAAATAAAACGGTAGTTAAAATAACAAAAAAACATGTAGATTGTAGGGCGGTGTAGAAAACTAAGAACAGGAACGTGTCTGCGTTGGTTGCATTGTGCATGAGGGTTATGAGCTGTCCCTGAACCCAGGAAGTTTGAGAACCCCTGTTTTAAATTGATCACGAGGAATATCCAGGGAAAAATAAAAACCAATCGTTCCCCGAAGAGTTTCAAGTAAGACAGTTGTAGATGCACACCTTTATTTATTTTTGAGTGTTTTATTCTTTCCAGCGCGTCAAGTGATATTTTGCTAACAGACAGGCAGGGTTTAAGGGTTTTTAAGCCAATATATTGTAGCTTTCAGAATATGTTTCGGAGACGATGCTCAGCTGCAGTAACGCCACATTTCACCTCGATATCAGTCAAATTGACCAAAGCCATTCTTGTGCTCTCTAAAGTCTTAGCAGCCATATCGAATCAAGCTGACTCCAAAAGGTAATCGGTTATGGATCTATTGATTATTTCCTCAAGGTTTCATTAAAATTCATCCTGCTCTTGGTGAGATACGTTGATAACAGGCGCAGAAATCATTTGTTCGTCTCCTCCGTTTGGCAGCGGTGGTCGTTAGAGGTGGTTTCGGCTGTTTGAGGTGACCTGTGTCGTGCTTTCAGAAACGTGCGCGGTGAACAACGGAGGCTGCGACAGCACCTGCAAAGACACATCCACCGGCGTGCACTGCAGCTGCCCCGTCGGCTTCACGCTGCAGCCCGATGGGAAAGCGTGCAAAGGTCAGGCAGCCGGTCCGCCACAGACTCTGATGTAATACAACCGGGAAGGACGTTCGGCTGAAATGCGCTCCCGTTTCTCCACAGATATCGACGAGTGTGAGTTTCACAGCGGCGGCTGCGAACACTTCTGCAGAAACACCATCGGGAGCTTCGAGTGCCACTGCAGGAAAGGCTTCAAGCTGCTGTCAGACGAACGCTCCTGCCAAGGTAAACTTAGATTTATATTACTCCTAACTTCAAATATTACTCCTAATCTGTCCGCGGAACGACTGGGATCAAATTAATCTGGGCTGTCGAGAGGAGTTTTGTCGGAGCTGACATAAACGTAGCTGCATTTAGTCAATTTGAGAAATCCTCATAAATTTCTCACCTGAAACAAACACTGTGAATGCCGAGTCAGCATTTATTTTCTTAGCCATTTTCAAACTACTTCTGCACACTTTAACATTTTAACCATTTCTACGTCAAAATGCTCGGCCCTATAGGGAATAGTGTGCCATGACTTTTAGTTTTTGTAGCTTTTATACGTTTCTAAACATTTAACATTATTTAAAATAAAATTATCGGTCGAAATACATTAAGATTGCTTTGATTCCCCTAAACCACGGTTCTCTGTGAAACCTGCTTCAGCATTCTTGCTCCACTGCTTTTACCTACAACGTAGCTGTTTTTATTAAATTTTAATTAGTCTGTTTTGCAACCTTTAGTTTATATTTAGCTGATCTTAGCTTCTGTTTTGCTCATTTCGGTCTCCGTTATGTCACGTCGTGCAGCTGTTCTGTACATTTCAGCCTCTGCTCATCTCGTCTTGTTAATTTAAATTTCAGCGACGTCACTCAGTATTCACGCAGAAAATGCAGCTTTAGTTGCACCTGTCCTAGTCCAGATGTGTCCCCTTCGACTGAGGATGTGTGGTTCAGTGTTTGTGATGGGGGGGTCCACCTGATGATTACACCTGACTGCCCTGCTTTCATGCCGTCCGTCTGATTTTGATTGCAGATATAGACGAGTGTTTCTTCGAGCGCACATGTGATCACACGTGTGTGAACTCCCCCGGTGGTTTTCAGTGTCTGTGCAACAGAGGCTACACCATGTACGGGCTGGCCCACTGTGGAGGTAAGACAAGTGGAGCGAGCCGCGTTCCACGTGTTTACCGTTAGAAAAACAAAGGAAGGTAAATAAACTTGAGTGTTAGCTCGCTGCTGGGTTCCACACCGTGTCCTGTCTTCATCTTTTCCTGGCAGATATAAACGAGTGCAGCCTGAACAACGGAGGCTGTGAACACGGATGCGTGAACACCGTGGGTGGATTTGAGTGCTCTTGCCGTCCTGGTTTTAAGCTGCACTGGAATAAAAAGGACTGCATCAGTAAGTTGGTTCTCCTTCCACTCATTCCTTTGTGCTGGTTCATGACTTCAGGCAGAGTGGGGACAAAAACAGGAGATACTTTGAGTTGTTTTCCTTTTCTCTTTAGTTCTCTGCTTGAGTAAAAACATCCAAATTGCAACTTTCCTCGCATGTTTTTTTTTGTGTGTGTGCGCGTGTGCAGTTTTCTCTGTATTGCAATCAAGCACATTCTGTTTTACCTTTGAGTTTTGTTGTGGTTTCCATCTAGAGGCCGAGGGTTTAACACCTGCAAACCCCCCCTCTAAGCCCACCTTGAACTGCAGTAAGCAGCAGGGGGGGGACCGCTGCTTTCTGACCTGCCAGTCTCAAGTTCACGTGCGCAGTGGTGAGTTCAGCCTCCTCTCCACACCTGCTCTTCTCACTGATTACTCCACGAGCAGCTCCATCTTCACGTGTTTTCCTCTCGTCCACCTTTTAAACACAAACACTCTGCAAAAGCTTCACCCCCCGAACTCTTTCACGTTTTTTCTTCCAAAATGCCAGACTCTTGAAATGTTCTTACGTGGTTTTGATCCACTGTCTGAGCTTTCTGAAGGTTTTTTTTTTTTGGACTTCAGCTGCTTTTTTCTCTCGTTTTTGTGTCTAGTCTTTGTAGCTGGTTATGATCGCAGGACAGGTGAGGAAAGAAACAAGTGTTGAACAAAACAATGAACGTGTCGGGTCATCAGAGTTCATGCTCAGTAATCCAGGTAATGAATCCTACAAAGTTCAGTCAGGTCCTCTGGACGGTTTCTTTGTGTCGAAACGTTTCGTCTTTCATCCAAAGGACTTCATCAGTCCGAGGAGCCACAACAGCATCTTCACATTGTGGGCCAACCAGTTTGATGGTGTCAGGTCTTAAAAAAAAACATCTACAGTATCTGAAAGTTGAGCCGAGTAATCCAAATATCCCACATTTATTAACTCTTTGGGAATCTCTTTCTTTGTACTAAATTATTTTATGTGTCAGACTGTCTTTGAGTTATTATTATTTTTAAATTCAGTTAAATAAATAAGTGTCAGGCAGCTGGAAACTAAGTGCATTAAAATCCGAATGTTTATTGACACAACACTGATTCATTCTGTGTTTTTACGTCTGAAAATTTCATGGCTTAGAGGTAAACAAACAAACAAACAAAACATGTTCAGGGACTGGATTGGAAATGAGTGGAAAGCAGCCAAAGTCCTAAGAAAAACATTGAAAGAGCTTCAGAAAGCCTGTAGAGCTACTGCTCGAGACGTCTTTAACTTGGAAACAAGAGCCCACCTCCTTGGAAGCAGGGTGAGGTGGTGAGGAACGACTCAAGACTTTTGCACACGACTGTACCGTTTATAACATAAACATCACACTGGCTGCGTCTTTCGGAGACGTAAAGAGTAACCGATGTGCCAGCAGGTGCAGAATCAGAACAAGCTTTATTGTCATTGAACCGAAATACACTGAGATTACGTTCGTACAGTCGTCTGAAGATGGGCGGCGTGCACGTTGCTGCTGCTCCTGCGAGCACCGCCTCTTATTCTTTTTAGATAGAAAAGTGGGGAAAGCCACGAGGAGAGGATAGTGGTATTACAAAGATCTCTTCACACCTCGTCCTTATCAGGACACGATATGCAGCTGACGACAAGACGGTGGGATTTGTCCATGAAGCTCTTCCAGATAGCACCATAGTCCTGATGAGATGTTGGTGTCACTTGGTACATCTCTGATGGGCCTTCACAGAAGTTCTTGGGGGCGGCGGTGTTGCGATAAACAGCTTTCTCAGATTACACATATCCCAGGAGAAATTTTATGAGGCCAAACGGGGCAGTCAGATTCAGATAAGCCACAGTTGTTGATTTTTTTCAGGCAGACTGTTGTTTCTCGTCAACCGTGAGTTTTGCTGGTATTTTTTCAGGGTCGGCAGCTTTGCCTTGACCAAAACTGCTGCCGCCGTCTTCTTTAATAGCCGATAACATACGGTAGGTACCCGCCGGTGCCAAAAAGCAGAAACCCTGTTATCGTGATTCTAATATCTTCAGCGTCCTCTTGAGACAACACGGAAAGGCTCATCAGATCCATGACGTGTCCTGCGGCGTGCGTCTCAGCGGGGCATGAGGGCTCTCCAGGACCTTACAGCAGTTTACGTTTTGGATGATGTTAAATAGGAGCTCCGATACACAAGACAGAGAGCAAAAATGGAGGAGGAGGACGGGAGAGGGAAGAAAGGCGTCCGTCTTGCACGCGAGCGAATGGTGGGGAAAAAAAAGGATCATGACTGAACTAATTTTCTGTTCAATCAATCAATAAATATTCATCAGGAGCAGTGGGTGGAGGTGCGTGTCTGAAAGCTGAGAAAGGGTTTTATATATTTTTAGTTAGTGCTGTTAAAAACAGATTTCATTCAGTCTGAGACCAACTGAATTCTCCTCGTAAGAGGAAAGGTTCTTTGAGCTGCAGTTTGTTGAACACAGTGACGGAAGCGTCCTGTCGTCACGTGTTATTATGTTTAAACAGCGCGTTCGGCTCCCTAATTAAACAGGTGCCTCTCTACGGTAATCTGACGCCAGTTAAACAGGTGTAATTGTCTAAATGAGCATCCTGGTGTTTCACCGTAAACTTTCATTCTTTTTGGTGTAAACACCACTTTCAGCTCGTCACAAACTGAACTCTGCCGTGACGAGCGAGAAAACACACGGAGGAAGCCAGGAAAGTAACTCCTTCATCACTTCAGCCGTTCACGAAGCGAATAATGTCTCTACCTTTGTCTTTTTGTTCGTTTGTTATCAAATGTCTCATGAAACACTGGTAGATAGATTAATGACAAAAGGACTGAGTGTACATTTACACCAAAATGGTGATAACTCCGTCACTTTCACACGTGTTGAGCTACGATAAGTTATGGTAGTAGCTGAGAGTCATTTACAACGCATCCTTTGAGCGCAACATCTCAAGAGGTTGCACATAATGGCTACATCCCCTCTTATTAAACACGCTGCGTCATTTTGCATCATTTTTAGACGCTTATTATATTTTCCATCCTTGTAGGTAAAAGTGACGTGAAGCCAGAAGGAATTCAATTCAATTCAATTCAATTCAATTCAATTCAAAGATTCTTTATTAATCCCAGAGGGAAATTAAGTGTGGTCGTAGCTCATCATCCTGGTTTCATTCAAGAGTTGTTATAGATGATAGCTGTGGACAGGAAGGACCTCCTGCAGCGAATCTGAAGAATCTGACCACAGATACCGATCCGTCCACCTGGATCCAGCTTGCTGTCAGATCCGGCGGGCCTCTGGGTCCTCCTGGGCAGCAGGGCTGCCTGAATCCTGGGCAGAATTCCTCCCAGAGCGATGGCCACTCCTCCCAGCAGTCTGCCGAGCTCCTCGTCGCCACGGACAGACAGCTGAAGGTGCCGGGGGATGATCCCGGTTCTCCCGTTGTCACGAGACAAGTTTCTCACCAGCTCCAGGATCTCGGCGGTCAGATACTCGAGCACCGCCAGGTTGACGGGAACTCGTCCACGGCGCCTCCTTTTCAATTCATTTGGGGCTGTAGCTGAGGTATTTGAGCTTTTGAGATGTTAATCAGCTGCTCCTGGTTGTTAAACGACACCTCGTTGCCATGGTTACGGATCATAACAAATGCCCAAAAGTAAAAAGGTTTCAGTAAAAATCCTTCCAGCTGCACAGCATCCGATACCAGAGGAAGCAATCATCTGAAAAAAGCAGTTTACATCCAGAAAAAATAGGAATTAAAGTTTTCAAAAGCAATAACTCAGAATGAAAGTAGCCGCTACTCCAACATGCACCCACCCCGAGCGGCGCAATTCTAGAACGAACAGGAGCATTACAGTGACTCAAGCCCCAGCGTTTGAACGCCATAGTTTTATCTGATTGATGGAGCCATCAGTGTTTGGAATCTCGCGTCTGAAAAGGTCTTAACGTGGAGCTGTTTGCGATCCAGTTGTGTGAACAGTCGTCAGCTTTAGTCCGCCGAGCGACTCGTCGTGCCCCTACATGCTTCCTCTTTGCTCTCCTCCTCGGCTTTTGTGGCGCTAACTTTTGTCAGCGTTGGTCCGTGTGTCACGGCCTCTTGTGTGTTTTTCAGGGACGGAGGATTCCTACACGGTGACCTGTGGAATGCCTCTGCCCTGCTTGGCTGGCGTACAAAAGAACAACAGCGGCTCGCATTGCTTAGGCAAGTACGAAAGCTCGCAGATTTACATCTGTCTTTCTGCTCTGTCACACAAAAGCGGTACCTCCGGAACAGCTAAGGCTCCGTGTTTGCTTTTCTTGTTGATGTATAAATAGATCCAAATGACAAGGTTTCTCCTTTTCTTTTTTCTGTCCGGCAGGTCCAGAAAAGCCCCGGGTCCCACGCATTAAGACCACAGCCACGTTTAGGTCTGGCACGGCCAAGTGCAATTTAAAACGAAGTCAGGAGAAAGTCCGGGAGAGCTCGACCCCGGCACACTCAGGTACAGAAGCTGCTGGAAAACCAACAACATCTTCAAACACGACTTAGATGACGCATAGACAAGGAGCTGAGTTATAGCTGTTTTTTCATTTCTGGTTAAAAAAGCACTTTGGGTTTTATAAGAGCTGCCAACATCTAAAGAAGATAAAGCAGACCTGAAAGCTGCTTCAAAGAAACCAAAAACCAAAGGCAAATGTGAAAGACATTTGTGGGGAAAGTGATGTGGTTTGGAGTGTTTTGAATGTCTCGGAGCAGCACTTTGTCTGCCACTGACAGGGGAGGATGTAATTAGCCATAGAAAAGCCTTTTTAGTTGGGTTTGACCCAGCCATCAATCAAACGGCTGCTTGATTGTAGGATGATTGCGCCTGTTAGCTCAGAAAAGCTAATTGTTTCAGACGTGTCTGTCAGCGAGATCTCATCCTGTTCAGCCTTCAACGCACAAATGTTTCAAAAACACAAAATGCTTCTTTGAAGAAAGTGCGGTATGAACACCGAGTGCTGAATGACAGCTGAAATTTGGTGAAGAAGCTGAAGCTGAGTTGGTAAAGTTAAAATGTTTAGGACAAAACTAACATTAGCATGAATTAAAAAATTAATGCTAAAATTAGCAACACGATGACTAAATGCTAAAAACAGCATTTCAGTAGTTAACGATCAAAATGGTAGCTACACCCTTAGCAAAAAGTAGTTTATGTAAATGTACTACAAGTATACTTATTTTACACTAAAAATGAGGAAGTGTACTTGAAGTTTACTTTTTATAAACTTTATTTGATAAAAAATAGTATAAAAATGTCCCAATTTAGTCCATACAAGTATTAAATCAGTATACTTCTAGTACACTACAAGTATGGTGTGTAGTATTTTTGATATACTTATACTTAATTTAAAGTATATTTGCAGAAATAAACTTCAAAATGTACTACTTTTTGTTAAGGGCATACAAAGACCAGCCGAACAGTAACTACTAAAATCAGCTAAACAGTAGCTAAATGCTAAAACCAGTAAAGCACCACTTAAAAGCTAGAACTAGCTAAACAGTAGCTAAAAGCTAAGACTGGCAAAACAGTTTCTAAAAATTAAAACTAGATAAACAGTAGCTAAGTTCAAACTAGCAAAACAATAGCTGTAATCTAAGGCTAACAAAATACTCGCTGAAAGTTAAGACTAGCAAAATAGTAGCTAAAAGCTAAGACTAGCAACATTAGCTAACAGCTAATAGTAAAACAGTATCTAAAAGTTCAAACTAGCAAATCAGTAGGTAAAATCTAAGATTAATAAAATAGTAGTTAAAAGCTAAGACTAACAAAACAGTTGCAAAAGCTAAGACTAGCAAACAGTAACTAAAAGCTAAGATTAACAAAACAGTAGCTAAAAGCTTAAAATGAAGCAAGCATGCTGAAGTAGACATCATAAAATCATTTTCCATTTTATTTCAGTTGTAAAACAGATTTAAACAAAAATGCATATTTACAAAAACTATAGAAGTTACAACAAAGAAAAGTTGTGGCTGTGATGTCCTGAACAAGCCAAACATTTGATTAAAGTAGCTAAAAGTAGCTAGAGCTACAGAATAAACTACAGTAACTCCTGACTCTGTAGTTTTGTTTCAGAGGCCTCGTCGGTTTGAGCTCGGCGTGGCGTTTGTTGTAAAAGTTTCCTTCAGCGTGTCCGTGATGTCTCTGCTTCTGTGGCGTGGTGTCTCCGATGTTCACAGAAAGCAGGTTTCTCTTCACGGAAAATGTCCAGTTCAGCTACGTGAGCCTGCGCTGCACCTCCTCGGCTGGACAGCGCGCGCGCGGCCGCCACAGCCGAAGAGCCGGCACGGAGGACGGCTTCTCCATCACAGCTGAGTTTGAGCTGGACGTGAACCTTGAGGAGGTAACAGGTTGGTCTCTCTGCGCTTCCTGCCTGCACGCTCGTCAACCTTTGCTTCTTGTTCTCCGTCCGGTCTGCCTTTCGCTGCTGTCTTTGTCACTAAACAAAGCAAAATGTTAAAGTATCTCCTGTTTTGACTTGGCTCTGGTGCCGGTGGGGCTCTAAGATGAAGGGCTTTCTGTTTTATTTCCTGAATTTACACATTTTTGGTGGTTATGGGTGGTTTTTTTTTCTCCTCTCTTTGTTTTTGTTGAGTTTGAGCATGAAATTCGAAACAGTTGTGGTATCGAGTGTTTCTCTCAGCAGAGACTTGTGACCTGAACTGTGTGCGTCGGCGTTCAGAGAAGAGGCTGAGGAAGACCATCAGGACCTTAAGGAAGTCCATCAACCGGGAGCAGTTCCACCTTCACTTTGCCGGGGCGGACTATGAGCTGTCCAAAAGCCTGGCTCAGCCTGCAGAGCTGCCGGGACACTGCCTGGTGGGTCAGGCGTTGGTGGGCAGGAAATGTGGTGAGTTTGATTCAGTCATGTGCTTTTTATCACCCCTGCCTCTGAAAGACATTTTATTTAAACTTGCAGAAAGGATCAGTTGATAATCCCTTTGAAGTGCTCAATTTAAGATGGCTGCCGCAGCCAACTGGCCCTGAAAGGCGTCGGTAACGCAGTAAATCTTACGTAGATTACCTTAAAATATAGTAGTAGCCGAGATATATCCCCAGCACATTTTTGGAGCGCTGATAGATTGTGTAAGATCTTCGTTTAAGTGTTTGCCATAAACTTTTCAAAGTCAATTCTGTCTTGTCTGTTAGCAAAATATCTCATGAACCAATGAACCAGAAACATTCACATACATCATAAAAGCCGATCGGTAAAAGTTCTCTATCTAAGGAAGCAGCAGATTGTGTCAAGATCTGTAATATAAGATGGAGCTAGGTTGTTGAGCACTTTGTAGGTTAGAAGTAAAAATTTGAATTCTCTTCTGATAATCAATGGGTATATATCAGCAATTGATTAACCTTTGGAGCTAATCCATATCAAGATGGCTGCTACAGCTAACGGACTTGAGTAAACACAAATATAGATAATTTTACCAATATTGAGCTAGAATTTGGCGTGGTAGTACCTGAGCATGATTCCTAACGAATACTTTAAGCACAACACCGCATTGGCTTTAACTGTTGAAGCCAACTTTGTTTGTCTGTTAGCAAAATATCTCAAGAACCATTGGATGGATTTCAGTGAAACTCGTAGCGTAATTACTGGTTACACCGTAGTCCGTCGTTTATCGCGGGGCAGCTGTACCCTGTAAACGCTCTACGAGAGCACAGCATGTCATGATTTCAGCTCCCTGCCTCCGCTGCTCTCAGCCACCTGCAAGCGCTCTTGGCCACGCCCACTTCTATGCTCTGCACAGTGATCAGCTGATCAGCTGCAGCAGGAAGTTTATCCTGCAGCCCAGTGCAGCAGGTGCTAAATTATTTAAAATAAATTATTTTAAATAAAAATCCCGTGCAGATCGTGCGGCTCATCCATCAATTATCCAGTTGTGTGTCATGTCCAGTCTTATTTTGAAAAACCGCAATGTCTACGATAAACGACCCGCGAAGAAGCGAGGGACCACTGTACTTCTATCAACTTTTGGAGTCGACGCAGTTTAAGATGGCCGCTACAGGTAATCAAGCTTCACATGCACAACAATGGTTGTACCTCAGTACATTTTACAAATACTGAGCTTAAATTTGATTTGGGAGTAGGCGACAGTCAACAAATCGTGCAATATTAACCGAACTATTGCAGTGTCACATAATGTTGCTATTTTCAAGGTTTTACCGAAGTGTCACGTTGTGGCACGAACGCGGCAGGTGATGTTCACTCCCTCGGGAAATGCTCGGCCTTTAGCTGTAAGGCAGCAGCGGCACAGAGCAATCACCGCCCGCACAATAGACCCACAGTCACGTCAGCCGGTGCGATCCGTTCGCAGCGTTAACGATCAGATCTGGTGCAGGTGTTTGCCAGATGAGCGCCATGTTTTGGTTGTGAGCCGCGCTGTAATGAGCGAGTCGGAGTGGAAACGTGGGAGAGAACAGAGAGCCTGTTGTTGGGGCTCCAAGCTGTGAGATCTTCCAGCATCTCGCTGGGATAAGAGCGTGGTCTCCTGGTTGCTGTTGCCTCTCGCTCCAGTTTTTATATCCAAGCTGCGACGGAGGAACGGTTGGTTGAACGTGACCACACACACACTGTCAGGGGAAGGAGCTGAAAGCTGGCCTGTGTTTTTCCTGGCCGACGCAGCTTTACGCCCCTGTTTTCTGGCCTCACGGTTGGGTTTGCTGGTGGACGAAACATCTCAGGAAAACGGTGCCTGCTTTCTAAATATTTATTCGGACTCTATGTGCTTTGTGTGATATATGAAGTGGCAGCTTTGAAGATGTTTTGGCCAGATCTTCTGCACCACATGTGAAGGCTGGAGGTGATGAAGTTTCTAGGCTCCGCTCCTTAATTTGCCTCCGGTGGTGTTTACTCTACTGTCTCAAACTATTTCTGGCATCATGATTAACACTTTATGTTTCGGCTGTTAAACTTTGCTACTTCTGTTTCCATCTTTTAGCGACGCATGCTCCCCCCGCTGTGCTTTCAGGTCAACATGAAGCGGTCTACTGGCCATGGCAGGGCTGTAGACATGTAATTTGGGAAAAGAGGAGGAGGTAGGGGATGTTCTGAGAGGCATTCTTCTGAACCTCCTGCTCTTTAAAAGGAGCTATATTTTTCCCCACCTCCCCCCACCTCCCACTCTGGCTTAGCGCAGAGTGCACTTTTAGTCCTTTTCAGTTTGCCCACTCCATTGAAAAGCCCGTTTGGGGCTCGTTCTCACTCCGAGAGAAACAACAACACCGTGAGTCTGGAGGAAACACGGCTTCAAATATTTATTTCCCCTTCTTTAGTTGTATCGTGATAATGTTGCTGCTGTGGTTTAAATTCATAAACGTTGTAGCTGCTTAAAATACAATTTTTTTTTACTTTAAGTTTGCACGTTTGAAATTAGATTATGCACAATCATCATCTTTTGTTTATATTACTGATCTTATTGTTCCATATTTTACTAACAGAGCACGTCGCTCTCAGACTGCAGGTTTACTCGTGGTTCCTAGAGTTTCCAAAAGCAGAATGGGAGGCAGATCTTCCAGTTCTCAGGCTCCTCTCTTGTGGAACCAACTTCCAGTTTCTGTCCGTGAGGCTGACACACTTTCCAGTTTAAGACTTTCCTTTTTGATAAATCCTATAGTTAGGCTTGTTATGCTGCTATAGACTTAGACTAGTAGAGGACAAATTGACCTCATTTCCTTAAATGAATTGTTAAAACTGAATAGTTTTCATTTGATACTATTTCTATCTTAACATGTGATTCTTGACCTGCCATTGTGTATCTGTTCCTATCAAACCCAGCCGGTGGAAGCAGATGGTCCTCTTGTCCTGGTCCTGGTTCTGCTAAAGGTTTCTTCCTCATGAGGGAGTTTTTCTTTCCACTGTCGCCTTCATGCTTGTTCAAGATGAGAGTTCTGTGATGGAGTTAAACTCAAAGCTGCTCCTCAGATAAATAATGTTCAATTATTATTTTATAGATGAACGTTTCTGTTAAATTATTATTTTATATATGAATGTTTCTGTTAAATTATTATTTTTATAGATGAATGTTTCTGTTAAATTATTATTTTTATATATGAATGTTTCTGTTCAGTCCCTGAGACGATTCTGTCGTGACTTGGAGCTTTAGAAATAAACTGAATTGAATTTTTTAACATAGAAGATGTTTAGGAAGTTGCTGGTGATCCAAGCTGCCAGTTTGGGTGCCCCCCCCCCCCCCCCACACACACTCACACACACACACCCCCACACACACATCCTCCTCCTCCTTCCTCCCAGCTGGGGCCACTTTGCATGACCCCCAGCCACTAAAGTGCTAAAGAGAATTGACTTCAGCCACACCATGGGAATCAATTAGCGTCAGCTGTTTGTGCCTCCGCTGGATGAGCGCGGGCCGTGATTGGGCCGAGCAGAATGGGGGGTTCAGAAACTCACCCCTTTTATTGGGTTCAGCCCCTCACCGCTGCGATACGGGAGCGTTCTCCTATGTCATCAAGCTGGCAAAACCCGGGGCGTTGAATAGAGGTGAAAGGTCTTTTAAAGCTCTTTGAGGCCATCAATTCGAGGACTCCATAGAAGTTTTGTTTGCATTTGAAAGGCTTCAAGGTTTTTTTTCCTCTCTCCCTCTTTCACTCTCACTCTCTCCTCTTCCCTCTCTGTTTCCCTCCGTCAAATAAAAGCTGTTAGGGGACAATGCGCTGATGGCTCCCCGCGGGCCCTCACAACAAACAATGGCCTGAAAAAATGAACTGCTCTTGACAGAATTACACTTTCCCCCATTTAGATGAAAATCTAACAGTTTGCTGAGCCACGTATAATAGAGCTACCTTCAAGCTGTGGCGCTTTCAGAGCTGCTGGTGCTTCGGTCGCACGCACGTGCACACACACACACACACACACAGCTTAAAGGCTGCAGCGGAGCCACGTTTCGCACCAAAGGATTAAACTGATTTATTCTCGCTTCACATCAACTTGTGTGTTTAAGTGCAGACTCAGTAATTCTCAGATTAATTACAGGTGTCGCTCTGAAGACGTGGACTCAAAGCAAACTGAGTTCTGGTCCCTGTAATCAGGAGTTTGCTTTTTCGTAAGATAAGAGGGACAGACCCCCTTTGATTTTCCTGTTTGCTTTAAAAAAGGTGTGTGGGGGGGGGAGGGGGCGTCCTAAAGATGCTTTAAAGGGTTTGGTTGGTATAAGTTGCAATTAATAATTTTTTAACTGCCTTTTATTTCACAGCAGCTTTGAAATCTGTAATATTACACAGGACAGATTAAAGGGGTAGTTTATATCTTTTGAAGTGGGGTTCTGTGAAAAGTATGCAAACAATAAGTATCTTACCTGTTGTAGATACATTTTTGAATAACGTCACTTTGGACAGTTTCGTTCTGACGTGAGGTGAAACTCTTGAAACCGTCTCAGCTTGGCTTCGTGGTCGGCCTCATCGTTTCATGTACGCACCACGCCCTTCTCGATTGAACAGCGGAGGCAGCTGAAGTCGAAGTTATTTTAACGGACTTGTCGTACGGTGTAACTGCTGAGCACGTTGTGGTAAGAACCGTTTGATTATGTGCAGCCGTGGGGCAAACTGCTGAGTGCGTTCAGTCACGCCTGCTGCGTCTCTTTTTGAATTATTTTTAATTTATACTTGAATGTTTCCTGACACTGTTGCGTCTGCTTAATTACGTTAATTACAAGTTCAGACACAACAGCCTGACTTGGGTGTCGTACGTGTTATTTGGAGTGTAGGTGTGTCAGCATGCGTCTGTCTGAGCGTCAGGTTTGTTTCAGGTCGATTCCACGTTGCGTTCGAATCACATTTTTAAACTGCCCTTACTGCCGTTCCTTCGTCTGCTAGTGAGCTGCAGCGCTGGGACATACTATGATGGACATCACGGACGCTGCGTGCTGTGTCCAGCTGGAACGTATCAGGACGAGGAGGGACAGATGTCCTGTGAGGTCTGTCCAACACCTGAAGGAAGAGACGTGTCCAAGGTGGTCGGTGCTAGAAACTTGTCGCAGTGTGGGGGTAAGAATCGGTTTCCAACAAACAAAAACGATTCCATAAACTATTTAGTTGATAAATGTTAATACTGGAAAAGAACACGTACTGCAGCATAACTTAAAATGTTCTTTGTATTTGCTTTTTAAAAGAAACTCATTGATGTGATGTGTCTGTAAAACCTTCTTCTCTTCTCAGGTCAAGCATCTTTCCTGTCACGTTAAATATTGGTAGATACGGCTAGGCCTGTCACAATAACAAACGTTGCCGGGCGATTAATTGTCTCGGAAATTATTGCGATAAACGATAATATTGTTTGAAATTTGACAATAATTAGTCATTATTGCCAAATTTAAGTTAATTTGTTTTGTGTGTAGTATCTTTTTTGGACCACTGGATGGCAGTACAAGACTGTTTAAACTGAAGGATGGATAGTGAGGGAGCGAGCAGCGTGTGTCTTTAACAAAAATGGGAGGGAGGCCCCTTGACGTGACATGGGCTGTCTCTCTGTCCTTATTTTCGGTTCTCAAAATGTCGGACGCTCTGTGTGGTTTGAGTTCTTTAGCATTTTTCACACGAAGCTTTTAATAAAAAACCAGTAAACAAGTTCTCAGCTTCTTTTTGCAGAGAAAAACAACTTTTTACACAAAGGCACGGGTTTCAACCGTGAATTTTGAAGCTTCGACAAGACGGAGGTTTTTTTCCCCCCCGAGGTCGGCCTGTTAGCTTTTAGCTCGTAGCTTAGCTTCTCAGCTTAGCTGCTTTTAATGATCCAAAATGCGATCTTGGACGGTTAAAATGGATTTTAAAGAGAAATGGAGGGGTCAGTGAAGAACACCAGAGTTGAGCTTCTTGTCATCCAGTGTCTTCAGTAGAAAGAGACACGAAGAAACGATGAAGCCGAAAAATGAAAACGAGGACGATAATTTTCATTTATCATGCGATTAACTGATTTATTGTTTATCGCGACAGGCCTAGATACCAGTAGTTAGGATTTCTTCATCCTTAAGTCAAAGTCTTCACAGTCGTTCACGTTGTAAATCAAAATCAGTCTTAATATTTGTTTTCCCGAGTCAGATACTTTCTGGTTTTCCAAGTTTTTCCACTTATGTCAAGCTGGTTTATGGAGCCCAGCGAGTGCCAGGAATAAAATAAATATAAATTTGGGAAATTAATTCCCCCAGTTTTATAAACCGTGCATTTTCTGAGGTTTTTTTTTTTTTTTTTTTGTTGGAGAACAAGCATTAGATCATTATTTGTGTTCACTGAAGTTAGAAATCTTTCTCTCAGTCTATATGTTGGTGGAGATTCTCGGTCATCCAGGACACGGCAAGAGTTTAAAAACAACAAAACTGGACTTTTCTGTTAGTTGAAAACATTTCGCTTCCCATCCAGGGAGTGTTTTCAATTCAAAATGTGGAGCGTGCCAAGTTCCAAGCTTTAAACTGGTTGCTCTCAGGACAAATAACTTCAAAACAAATCATTGTTAAACCATGAACTCACAATAGAACAGTAGTAAATACCATACAGCCTGATTTAAATCCAAACAAGTCAAACTCCGAGTCCATGCGGAGCGACTGTGAGACCAGAGCTTAACAACCTATGTGTAATTTAATATTTGTAATTTAATATTTGTGATTTAATATTTGTGATTTAATATTTGTGATTTAATATTTGTGATTTAATATTTGTAATTTAATATTTGTAATTTAATATTTGTAATTTAATATTTGTGATTTAATATTTGTAATTTAATATTTGTGATTTAATATTTGTGATTTAATATTTGTAATTTAATATTTGTGATTTAATATTTGTGATTTAATATTTGTAATTTAATATTTGTAATTTAATATTTGTAATTTAATATTTGTGATTTAATATTTGTAATTTAAAATTTGTAATTTAATATTTGTAATCTAATATTTGTAATTTAATATTTGTGATTTAATATTTGCGATTTAATATTTGCGATTTAATATTTGCGATTTAATATTTGCGATTTAATATTTGTGATTTAATATTTGTAATTTAATATTTGTGATTTAATATTTGTAATTTAATATTTGCGATTTAATATTTGTAATTTAATATTTGCGATTTAATATTTGTAATTTAATATTTGTAATTTAATATTTGTAATTTAATATTTGTAATTTAATATTTGTAATTTAAAATTTGTAATTTAATATTTGTAATCTAATATTTGTGCTTTAATATTTGTAATTTAATATTTGTAATCTAATATTTGTGATTTAATATTTGTAATTTAATATTTGTAATTTAATATTTGCTATTTAATATTTGCGATTTAATATTTGCGATTTAATATTTGCAATTTAATATTTGTAATTTAATATTTGTAATTTAATATTTGTGATTTAATAGCTGGGGTGGCATTAACAGGATTAATAAATCTGATGTGTGATTTTCAAGACACAACAGTCAATACTAATATTGTTATTGACTATTATAACTGAATGCTGCAATTTGTACGCAGTGTCTAAATCCTCCTCTTACAGCCGGTGTTGTGCTGACGTTCGTTTCCTCCTTTAGATAAGGAGTGGGCACCCATTTTTCACGAGACTATATACAGAACTGGGACGTTTCAAAGGGCGAGACCAACAGGTTAAACTCTATTCTGCCAAAACTATGTTTATTTACTAATTTGCAATAAATATGATTTTCAATAGATGTTAAGAGTAAATGGGCAATACAAACCTACACTATTATTTCTGAGAACTTAAACTTTATATATTAAATATAAATCAACCAACAACATATGTGGTAAAAATGTGCACTTTTTGCAGCATTTCAAATATTAGCATTAGCACATGTTTTCATGAAGGTAGCTGAACACACACAAAGGATGCTGACCCGAACACCCGCTTGCCTTCAAAATAAAAGCACAGCACAAGTTTGTTTCAAACTAAAAGCAGATATTGTGGATTAGCATGCAGAATGATTTATATTTAATTTCTGATTTATTTACTTGACCTTTCGCTCATGTATGCTTTAAATCCACCCCTCGCAACACACTGAAAACACAAGATAATGATTTGCTACAACCTTAGTTTGTATTTACCTGACCCTTACTGGGCTCCACAACTACCACCCCCTGCCAGTAGTTTCATATTTACAGTGAGGGTCCCATCCCCAGTTTATCTTGAAGAAGCAAAGTGAAGTAACTTAACAACATTTTAATCAATTTTTCAATCAAAATGAAAATAATAGTTAAAGCTAAGTTTGTTTTTCAGTCTCACTTTACTTCATCCAGTGTGATTTATTTCCTCGTCGCAGTACAAATAAACAACGTGCAGATAAAACTGATAAAGTCCGAGCGGGAACAGAAAAGGTGTTTTGTGAATCAGAGACCCACAGGAAGCGCTGGTGCTGTGATTAGGATCTCTCCTCGGCAGATGTTGTGTTTTGTGTAAACCCAAGGAAGCTTGAACTCAGGCGATAAAGTTGAATGTGAGCTCAGGGTGCGAACAAACACTTTCAGGCTTTTTTAAAAGTCTAGAACAAAAAAGGCTGAAGGAGCTGCTATGAGCGTCATGTGGCTGAAACCCAGATCCCATCAGAGAGACAGACTAAACAAGGAGAGCAGCTGACGCCCACTTTGACTTAGTCACTCAGGATGTACACTGAGTGAGAGGAGCCAATGAAATATGGCATTCCTTTAGCATTTATTTCACCTTCTACCATAGTGCTTATCTAAATGGAATCGTCATATTTTACAATGCAACTTGGACAGAGATGCTGATGTTTTAACGGTCTGTATAACCACAAACATTTTTCTGTGTGCCTCAGGTCAATGTCCCCCTGGCCAGTACTCCCATGACGGCTTTGTCCCCTGCCGTCCCTGTCCACTGGGAACCTACCAGCCGGAGGTGGGGCGCACTTCCTGCTTCCCGTGCGGAGGGAACCTGGTGACTAAACGCAGCAGCGCTGTCACTTTTCAGGAGTGTGAGACCAAAGGTGTGAGACTTGTTGCCCATTACCTCCCGTCTGGTTTATTTTTAACACTAACGGACGGCTCTGAGGGAATACGTTAGAGCACGGTTTATGAAAAGTTGTCAAACTTATTAAATGAAGTGAAACATCTGTGGTTGCTGAGATTTTAACTCCCCCCACCACCAGCAGCTTGTGGCTACAAATCTCCTTTTGGTGTTGACAGGAACTCTGCTGCCCCCTGCAGCTCCTGCAGGGTCTTTACTGACGTGAACGTCAATGAGTTGAATTCAAATGGCATCAGAAGCCATTTTAAACCAGCTGAGTTTACAGTGAGTATTCTAAGGATTGCACCAATGGTCCTATGTTTCTGCTGTTTGCTCCTGCAGTGCAGTGTTCTCCCGGTCATTACTACAACACCAGCACACACCGCTGCATCCGCTGCCCCATGGGCACGTTCCAAGGCGAGTTCGGTCAGAACTACTGCGTTGGCTGTCCTGGAAATACCACCACCGACTTTGATGGCTCCACCAGCATCATGCAGTGCAAAAGTAGGTCCGGTTACGTGGCGCTCAGTAAACCTCACCATTTAAGAGTTAACGAGATATTCAACACGCCTGTGTGGCTTTACAGACCGACAGTGTGGTGGAGAGCTGGGAGAGTTTACCGGCTACATCGAGTCCCCAAACTATCCCGGGAACTATCCAGCCAACGTTGAGTGCACTTGGACCATAAACCCACCGGCCAAACGTCGAATCCTTATTGTCGTGCCTGAAATCTACCTGCCCATGGAGGACGAATGTGGAGACTACTTAGTAATGAGAAAAAGCTGTGAGTTTTAACCGTTAAACTAAAACACCATCACCAAGGAGGGAGCGATTGTAAACTGGTCCTGCTTAGCTTTGGGAAAATGTTGAATCCACCGGAACGTCGTTTTGATTTCACACAGACGACATTTCTAGCATCAGCGCTGCACATAATTTAAGACAGACTTTCTTTGCGCTCACGTCTTTTCCTCACAGCTCTGCCCAATTCCGTGACGACCTACGAGACGTGTCAGACGTACGAGCGCCCCATCGCGTTCACCTCCCGCTCCAAGAGGCTGTGGATTCAATTCAAGTCCAACGAGGGGAACAGTGGGAAAGGCTTCCAGGTTCCATACGTCACATATGACGGTACAAGAAATAAACATTTCCATCCATTTTCTTTACCCACTTCTTCCTTTTCAGGTCCCAGGGGTCACTGGTGCCCATATCCACCAGTCACTGTGTGGGGGGGGACACCTGGACAGGTCTCCAGTCCATCACAGGGACACATAGAGACAAACGAGACAAACAACCACGCTCACTCACACCTAGGGACAATTTAGAGTTACCAATCAGTCTAACATGCATGTTTTTGGTCTGTGGGAGGAAACTGGAGAAAACCCACGCATGCACAGAGAGAACATGCAAGCTCCACCCAGAAAGGGCTCCGGGCTGGGATTTGACACATTCCAAGATATTTGTTTATATAGATGAATAAATTATGCAACATTAGTAGGTGTTTCCTCAGGTTTGAACGTTTTAATGTTGAATTTACACGATTGTCTGTTGTTGTCTGGACCTCATCTGCGTTCTTTGTTTAAATCAGGTCTCTCTTGTAAATGAGTCCTCGAGGCTCGATGAGACTAACCTGCAGAAATAAAGGTCGAATAAATAAAAAATTTGTGTGTAAATGTTACGCTGTCAAAGACCGAAGACGTTAAAGACTTGGCTGAACATTGATAAACATTTAAAGAGCATAATGACGACACAAATAAGTTAAAATAAGATTATTCTACATTTTCTTCCACATTTATGACCATTATTATCTTTTGTAACATTTATAGTAAAAACATGCAAGAATTAATTACTGTTTTAAAATATTGATTTCTGAATCAGAATCAGAATAAGCTTTATTATCATTGTACCGGGATACAGTGAGATTATGTTCGTACAGTCGTCTGAAAGATGGGCGGAGTGCACGTTGCTGCTGCTACAAGAGCGCGGCCGCTTATTCTTTATCAGAATACGTTTTAGGTAGAAAAAGGGAAAAGGCCATGAAGATAGATAGTGGTATTACAAAAAAGATCTCTTCACATCTTGTATTATCAGGACACGATTTGAGACATCAAAAAACTTGGCCATAGTCCTGATAAGATGTTGTTGTTCAGCCGGCAGTTCTGATAAGCCTGCACAGAAGTTCTTGATTGGGGGGGGCGATAGACAAAGCTTTATCCTTAGTTTACCCATGTCCCAGGATAAATTTGGTAGTCAGCTCGCATCCGAGGCCAAAGGGGGGAGTCAGATTCAGATAAGCCACACTTGTTGATTTTCTTCAGGCAGACTGTTTTCTCGTCAGCCTTGAGTCCTGATGGAACTTGTAAGAAACAAAATGGCCAGATTTGTGGGCATTCCACTGAGCGATGCGATGTGCCTTCTTCAAGGTCGATCCCAACATGCAGGCGAGTCCAAGAAGCCGCAGATGTCCTGCGATTCTCACAAATTGCTTCCATCTTATGGTTTAGCTCGTTAATCAGCTGATTTTGAGTCCTTATAGCACGAACCAAACCTTCACACAGACTTGGCAGTTTTGTCGTGGCCAAAACTGCTGCCGCCGTCTTCTTCAAAAGTCGATAACATAGGTACCTGCCAATGCCAAAAAGCAGAAACCCTGCTATCATGATTCCAATGATATAAACATCTTCGGCTCCTCCTGAGACAGAACTGAAAGGCACATGAGCTGCCAAACTCCCCACGGATCCCTGATGTATCCTGCAGCGTTATTCTCAGCGGGGCATGAGGGCTCTCCAGGACCCTGTCGTTTTGTTGAAAAGTTTTTGTCGAGTTAGTTGAAAGTCCAGCTCACCAGATCCATAAAAGTATTTTTTCATTCGAAAGACGTGTAACAGGAGCTTCAAACACACACAGAGAACAAAAGCAGGAAGAAGAGGAGATCATCTAAGCACCCATAACTTTGTGTTTTGTCCCCAACTATTCTGACTGATAATATTTTATTTGATTACATGACAGCCTAATGTTTGTATAAATGTCTGCAAACTGTCACACTGGACTCCGTTAGTTTTAAACGCATCCCAATGTTTAGATTTGCCTCCAGATTTTGAAGAGAATCTTTAACCAAATAATACTGAGGATTTGAGATGTTCAAATGTTGTCTGGTTGTAAAAACTGTCATTTATAATGATTGATGATGATGATGATGTGTTGCTTTGTCCTGAAAGGTCTGAGAATCTCCACAAACATCGAGATGCAACATTAATTATAGTCTAAATATAATCTACTTACAAAAATATTCACCTGAAACCTCATGATTGTTTATTGACTATAATTTAATTCTTTATTTTTTACTAATTGACTGCATTTATAAAATTGTCATGTAGCGTCTCCTGGATATAGGAGACAGTTTTACTGCCTACATATTTTACTAACAGATGGTTTCATTGTGACTAAGGATCTTTGTGTGGGTTTTATTTGTTTCAGAGGATTACCAGGAGCTGATTGAAGACATAGTGAGAGATGGGAGGTTGTATGCGTCAGAGAACCATCAGGAAATTCTCAAGGTATGGACGCCTCGTTGCTGTCGTTTTAAACGTCAACACGGAGCAGACATGATTCTGATTTATTTATTCCTTCATGAAGTGCATATGAAGTCCAGCAGGTGTATGGAATCATATTAATATAAAAACAATTTTATATAAAATACACTTTAAAAGATCTAGTGCTTGGATTATTTTACTTTTTCTCTTCCAGACACAAAACTTTAAAAGGTATCCAGGAGGCTTGTAGTGTTTTTTTAATTTTATTTTATTGGAGATGTGTAGAAAAACAAACTTGCTCTCGTTCGTCATCAGATTTTTTATGTTTAAATCTTCACTTTTGGTTTTCTCCTCAGGATAAGAAGCTCATGAAGGCGCTGTTTGACGTGTTGGCTCACCCACAGAACTTCTTCAACTACACGCCACAAGAATCTAAAGAAATGTTTCCCAAATCCTTCATCCGCTTCCTGAGGTCCAAAGTTTTGAGATTCTTTCGCCCTTAAATAAAAAAATCTGGAGTTTTCATATCAAACTGAAGTAAAATACTGGTGTCGGTATCAGCGGAGGAGTGTTTTGTTGTTAGATGAATTCACTCAGACTGAGAGCGAGATGTTTGGGCCATTGAAGCAAGCGGACTTTTAACTCGAGCTTTGAAAGAGTCCTGAAGACGAACTGAAAACACTGACCTGCATCGGCATCCTTAAAGGGAACCAGGACTTCTTCAGATGGCTTTCTAATGACTTCATGCCATTTTTGTAGATTTTAAAATCGGAATTGAAACCCCAAAAGTGCACATCTGCATCGGAATGCCGCTTACTCGTGCACACGCTGACGTCGCGGGACTTTTTGCTGACAGGACCATGATGGAAAAACAAACATGGAAGCTGAACAGATACATGTTGAATGTCAATGAAAATGTATATTTATATATATATAGAATGTGCATCTAGTTTTAATACGGTAGGCTACAGTCCCAGGTAGGGATGAATAATTGACAGGAATTCTGCTAAACGCCAGGAACAAATGGGAACACTAGCACTGCTAAAGAGGTAGTTCCACCGCAGAGAAATTATTCTGCTGATTATTTTGTATATGATGTAAAAAGTTGTAGGTGAAATGCTAATGTATAGCAGTATAGCAGAAAAAGCTGAAAATGACTACTTTTTTATGCATTCGTATAATAATGGGAGCTTCAACACATCGATGCCGGTTTGTATCATTGGAAACACTAAGATGACCCAAACTCACATCTTGTTGCGGTACAGAAAAAAGACTTTTGAAAAACCTGTAAAATACGACTGAGCATTTCTTCCTTTACCTGTTGCATTAATGTATATTTTTAAGGTTTTGTACATCTAATATGATGTAAATAAAGACTGAAAACATATTTACTGTTTCCATAGCCATGACTCACTTTTTTATGAACAAGAATTTTATTCTTTTATGCTCTTTAAGACTGGATTGTGGTAAGAAATACAATGCAAGCAAAATAAATTAATTTTCGAATGAAATGGTATTTTAGTAGCAGCATCAAAGGCCTAACAGTTGAAAGCTTGTTGCACGGTTGACGGTCACCTGGACTGAGGATAAAGTACCTCTGGGGTGTGTGTCCGGTCTTGTTTTCCTTCAAACAGGACTTGCAGGTGCTGTCCAGTTTCCTTTAGGTCTGAAACATCTTTTGTCCTCCACAATTCCTCATTTTCAAACACAAACAGCACAAAATTCTGACATGGTCAGGTACAAGGACTGGGTGATAAAAAAAGGAGTTAAAACGCTGCCAAAGTTCAAATATTATATCAGAGGCCTGAAGAACTATTGATCAAGACCATTTCAAAAGATTAGAAGAAAGTCTGGCTCCTTAGAAGTAAAGTATAAGGGATGATTAAAACTTTTACACAGAAGTGTACATAGTTTGATGTCCTCCACATAACGTCACTAGAGACAATAAGTATTTCAAATTAAATTAACAGAGTCAAAATAATTAATTTCAAAAATTTGTATTTCTTGGTTTTGGGTGTTTGATTTATCCTCCCTGTCACCAACGGATTTGCAAAGTTAGTCGAAAACATTAAAAATAATCGACTAATTCATTTTTTTAAACGCATTGTAAATAAAAATACACAAAAAACAGCACGTTGAACAACATTCAGATATTTCCCGCCTCGGTTGACCTCCTTCCTGTTCTTTCTGATCACGTGACTGAATGCGGAAGCGGAACTCCAAATCCGGGTAGAAACTACAAGTCAGCTGCCTGGCGAGCTGTTTGTAGCTTGGACTTAGCTCGATGGCTAACTTCGTCATTTATTAGGGTTCGCTTGTCGTCGCTGGGTGAATTCAGGAAACATTTTATCTGTCCTGCCGTAAAGATGAAGTGTCTGTTTTCTGTCGGGGGACTCAGTTTTTTCTGTTTTGTGCTGCTCAGCCCGGTTTCTGCGAAGGTAAAGCTAACGTTAGCCTGTTAGCTGGTCGTAAACAGAAAAGGTTATGTAGTCTTAATGAAGTGGAAGATCATCTGAATAATTCTGTTTCAGTCACAAGTGTCTAAACCAACTGTTCACTTCAGAGGTTCAGTAATGTTCAACTAATAATCTACTGTTAACTTTTTAGTTTTCTACATCGCCTACAACCCAGCTGTTTTTTTGTTACATTAAAAAAAAAAACATTTAGTTTTCACTTGTTGTCAATTTGCATGCATCCTTTGTTTGTTGTTGTCTTTGTTGTCATCAATCTGTTAAAATCAGTGAGTTCCCGAGGCTCAATGGGATTAACCTGTAGAAGTAAAGGTTGAATGAATGAAAACTAGATCTACTAATAATAACTAATGTTGCCCCCTCGTGGAGTTTATAAACAAGTGTGTGATACTTTTGCTATTATCAAATGTTTCTGTTTTCAGAGGACACAAATTAAACGTTTTAAAAGCTAGCAATTTACGTCAAAATCATATAAATGCATTAAAAGTATTATTTAAACCAGTAAAATCAATAGAGCATGAACTCAGTTTTATTCTATTGTTTGTTGTTGTGGCTTTAATTAACAGTTTCTAAAAAGTATTACTAGAACGTTTTATCCATAAAAGATGTATAACGTCAATAAATTTAAAGACGGCAACCAAATGTATTATTTTAATGGTGGGAGAGAATAATCAGCCAAAAGTCGTTGAACACATGCTCTTGTTTTTTTTTAAACTAATTTATTTTTTCACAGAATTCAGAAGATATCCGCTGTAAATGCATCTGTCCACCATACAGAGATGTCGATGGGCAGATCTACAAACAAAATGTGTCTCTCAAAGACTGGTATGATCGCTACATTAACTTGATCCAGACACGTCATCTTACTGCTTTCACGTTAAAAGATCATTGATGGTGTTTTCTTGCCAGCAACTGCCTCCACGTGGTCGAACCAATGCCGGTGGATGGGAAAGATGTTGAGGCCTACTGTTTGCGCTGCGAGTGTAAATATGAAGAGAGGAGCTCGGGGACCATTAAGGTAGATCCATGTTGAAACATCAGCTGTTTTTCATTTAGAGCTCCATCGAGGGATTAATACAGAATAATCTATTAGATAATTCTTCGTGTCTTGTATTAGTTTGTATAACGAGGGGAAAACGTGATCAAGCTTCATCTTAATTTATCACAGTCATATTTATAATTTATTAAAACACAGCCACAACATGACACGTACTGTTCCATATCTTTAGGTTACCATCATAATGTACCTGTCCATTTTGGGCCTGCTGCTGCTCTACATGGTTTATCTGACTCTACTGGAACCCATGTTGAAAAGACGGCTGTTTGGACACTCGCAGCTTATCCAGAGCGAAGACGAAGTTGGGGTATGTGTCGTTCTGAAGACTGACGTCACCTGTTCAGCAAAGATTTTACCCTGAGCTCTTCTAACATTCTTAATATGTAACCTTTTTGTGGCACAAAATATCACGAGAGTCTGGTAAAATGGAACGATGTCATGAGGCCGCTGTAACTTAACAGCAGTAAATCAAGACTGCAGCAGCATTAACGCTACAGAAAATGATGTGAAGTGTAATGTTTACTGCATCTTTAGCACAGAGAGCCTTTATTCTTCAGATTTTGATACACGTTACATGAACAACGTCTTTTTTTTTTACTCAAAGTTCTTGACAGAACAGTAATAAATCTGTGAGTTAAAACGATGAGCATTAAATGCAGCAAAAACTAAATTTAAGGATCACGACTTATAAAATGAAGCGGGGATCGTGTGTGTGGAGTCACAGGCGTAGATGTCTGGGGCTGAAGATGGTGGTCCGTGTCCACATCAGGTACTGATCCTCCAGTTCCAGCAGAAGAATTGAGACCAGATTTCAGGAAGAGGAGGCAATTTATTCCTTTCAAAAGAGTAGAGCTTTGGCTTTTTGAGGTCGGTTAATTGGACAGTTTATGGAACAGATCTGATATGAGAGTACAGACCAGTCGGACTTTTCTTGGTCTAACCGACTGTAACTGGGAAAAACAGGTTTGCAGCCACTAATAACACCCTTTAGAAAGTATTAAAAAGCTTGAGTCGTTTCTGAACTCGCATGTATGCAGCATGCCAGATTGTGCTGAACTTGAGAAGCAGATTTGTATCAAAACGTGCGTCTGTGTTTTAACTTGACTCAACTTTTCTCGTGTTTTCTTGTTTGGTTTAGGACCAGCAGCCTTTTGCCAACGCTCACAATGTTCTGTCCCGTTCACAGTCCCGACCCAACATGCTGAACAAGGTGGAGCACGCTCAGCAGCGCTGGAGGAGGCAGGTCCAGGAGCAGAGGAAGTCTGTGTTTGACCGCCATGTTGTCCTCAGCTAAAAGGCTCTCGGTCCTGGGTGCAGGATGGAAGGAAAGAAAACAGGAAAAAGCCTCACTGTGACAAAGTCTTGAGTTTAAACTGTTTTCTCTGGTTTTTTGTTTTTTTTAATGTTCAACAATTTTTCGATGACGAGATGAAGCCGTTACTGAGAGCTCCTATATTGTCTGCAGGCAGCAAAAGAAACTAGAGAATTTGTTTCTGCACAGACGCTCTAATGAACTTGAAAGAAAAGCTCAACACTCTTCAGCTAATAAATTCACGCCGATCAGTTGAAACCAGTCCAGTCATTAACGCTACACTGGTTTTCAGAAACAAATGTCCATCGGTGCTGGTTTGGATCAAAAACAGTATTTTCACTCCAAAACACAAACACTATAAAAACTACAGAAAATGTGTGAAATATCAGAGTCGTGCAGCTTTTTATAAGTGCATGTCCTTTAATAGCTCTTTTTATATCCTCCTGTCCTGCCAGGATGTTTACTGTATGATGTCATCGTCGTTTAATACTAATATCTGGTTGATTCATTGAGCTTAACTGCAGAAAATGAAGTTTTGTGATCGATAACTGCTGTTACTGATTTTGACCCTTTTTGAAGTCGTCCTCTGTAACTGCCTAACTTCTCTAACGTGTAGCCTTTAATTGTCTTTAGTTGTGATTAATCAATGTTCGTAATCGATGTTGTCGTCGTTGAGCAGACAGCATCGTTACTCTGAGTTTATTGTTGTGTACCTTGTGGAAAGTGGATAAACAACCAGTGGTGGGAGGCTCATGAAAGTGGTCTTTAATTTAATGTGGGAACAAAAACTTTGAAATAAATGATTGTAAAATGTGTATTCTGTTTTTCTTCTGGCTCTGCTGGGTTCGTGGTGTCTGCTGCAGGACTAATGGTTCAGTTCTGTGCGGGTGGGAGGCTGACGGGGCTGAAATGAGCTGCTGTTAAATAAAACGTGCCTGAAAGGGCTCTGAGGATTTTAAGGTGACGACCCGGCGCCCAGATCTGCAGAGAACAGTTCTTAAATCCGTCATGTCTCTGGTTACTGCACGTTTGTTTTATTTACAATATTTCAGCTCTTAACCTGATTTTAACAATTTAAATCCCAACTTTCAAACAGGTTTCTGTGATTTTAAATAGGAAAAGGTTTTAAATGTGCAGTGGGTTGCATAAGTATTCATCCCTCTTGGCAAATTTTCTGTTTTGTTGCCTTGCGATGTTGAATTGTTTTTGATTTTTAATTTGATTTAAAGCGACGTTTCTTCAAAAAATTACTCCAGAATAATGAGGATAAAGGAGAATAAACATAAAGCGGAAGAGTGGTGCATTTGTATTTAACCAGTTTGCGTTGAAGCCCAACCATTGCTTTCAGAAGCAACGTGAGTTGTTGAATTCGACTCACCTGCGGATGATCTGAGGTAAATCATCTTGGTGTATAACAGCCCGACAATCAACACCTCTGAGCAGGGAAGCGAACTTTTAGGAATTTCTCCCCCAAACTTGTCAGAAACTTTATTTTTTTTGTTTTTTACGAGAGCAATAGAGGCCGGGGTCTGCCATAAAAGACCCAAAGATGCCCCCAAGACAGTCCAGCACAACTGCAGCATGTAAGATCCAGGCAGTGTACCAACTGCTGGAGTAATATACAGGAACATCTGTGTCGAGAAGGTCCCAGTCAAAGTTTAAGATGCCACCGAGGGTGGTGGAGAATGGAAGGGCTACTGTGGGACTTCCAGATCCACATCGACAAACAACTGACTAACTAACTAACTAACCGGACGTTGTGATGGTCGACAACAAGAGCAGGTGATGTAGCAATCCCAATTGACTTAACATCAGGAAGAACAAGAAGCTGGAGAAACACCGAGGTCTGAAAGAGGGAGTGCAGAAGTTGTCCAGAGTCCATGTGTCAGGAGTCCCAGTTGGAGCACTTGGTGCTGTGACCCCCAACTGGAAAAGTGGCTCCAACAGATCCCAGGAACCACCTCAGAGATCTCTGTCCAGAAGAGCTCAGGAACAGCTGAGACACTGAACAGGACCCTCAAGCTCTCAGGCCTCTGAGGAGACGAGTGTGAGAATGAAGTAGAACCATGTACATGTAGGTACCGCTGAGTTTCTTTCAGCTGCTTCTTCAGGGGTCGCCACAGCGAACTCACGTGAAAGATCTGGCAGTTGTTGCTGGATGCCCTCCTGACGCAACCTGGGCTCGAACCCACAACCTCAGGACTAGACCACAGAGCTGACCGCCATTTGAACCATTAATACTGTGTGTGTGTGTGTGTGTTAGTTTAAAACAAGACCACCCCACACACCCTTTAGTTTCATAATTTCATCTATTTTTTTGTAGATTTATTTTAACTCTAAAACCTTCCAATCACAATAAAAACATATAATAATTCCAGGTTGTAACAACAAAATACAAACGAGAACAAACAGGATCGAGAATGGATGTTGGCGAGGCTCTGGGAATAAACACATCCCAGTTTAAAGACCCTGGAGTTTATGAGAACAACTAAACCAGAGTGAGTTCATCAAAGTATGAACTGAGTTTTAAAACTCAGTTTAAATAAGGAGTTCTGGTGGTTTGGATGCTTTTAAACATCAAAATGTCAGTTATGGAAAACATTTGTTACTCAGACTCTTTAAAACACCGTTTCCTAAAATAACTTGAAGCATCCAAAGACCTGAAGCTCCAGAGGAGCTGGTCTGAACTTCTGACTGTGATAACTTCAACCATCTTCTTTTCATTTAACTCGGTGATTTTCATCCAGCTTCGTCACCGTTTCCTGTGTCCTCCTCCTCCTCTCCTCCTCCTCTCCTCCTCCTCCTCCTCCTCCTCCTCACTCATTTGGGTTCAGTTTCAGTGTTTTCCTCCAGAAAGTCAGTTTTCAGGCTGCACAGACAGAAGGAGACCCAGACTCAGTTCAGCAATGGATCACTGACCACAAAGCACGGAACCAGCGCAGGACACCAGGTATGTTTTTAATCCCGCTCTGGACTGGATTATGTCCAGAGTCTAACGGGATTATCCTTTTTTTAAAGTAAAGATGCAGAGCAGTTTGTTTTGTTGTGTTGCCAGGAGAATAAGTTTACAGCTTTGCACTTCGTGGCCTTTTATAGCTAACATGTAAGAGTTAAAATCTGACTTTGTGTTGTCTGACTGCTGCGTTTTAACGTTTTATGTTTTTTATTTTTTAAACTTTTCAGCTGCATTAGCAGCAGCTCGCCTGCAGGGGGCGCCCGAGAGCTTTAAATCAGATCCATGCAGTAATCAATGGCTACTTTGACTTCATGCACAACAAGGCTCTAATCGATTTTGAGAGTCTGGAAACCCCCCAACACCCCCACACATGTTCCCATCACTTCAGGGAATATTGCATGCTCACACTTCTTCCTGCTGTGATTTTTAAACCAATATTCTTCTTCAAAATGCAACGATTCACATCATGGAAACTTCATTTCCCCTGTCCCTAAAATTAAGGCGTTCCTGCGTGAAAAGGATTTGAGGACACTGCATTTTCCCTCAAGGCCTCCGAGTGGTTTTGTGGTCTGCTGTTGTGGCTGCTGAGGTTTGAAGGAGATTGAAGAGCGTCCTTGTGTTTCAGTCCCAAACTTGTGTTGCAAGGAGACGCAGGATTTCAGAGCATTTTTAGAAACAGTTGCACAATATGAGCGTTGTTAGAAGAATACAAGTTTTGGTTTTCAAGAGGTTGTCATTGATCCAAGAATGAACAGAGTATTTATGCTTTTTGCAGAAAAATCCTATTTCTCTATTTTCCTGGGAGTGTTTGCATCAATCAGAGCAATGCAACAACAAAAATTTATCATTGCCAGTCTATAAAAAGTGGTGAGTTTTGTGCCAAGGGCTGAGGATGGATGAGACTGATGAACCTGACTGCAGTTTTTTCCACAGGCCCCAGACTGCAGTCGAACCTCTTACATTACTGACATGTTTCTAGCAGCACGTCCATCCAAATGTAAAAGAGGACAGGTGGTCTTCTTCTGTTTGAGAGCGTCGCTCTACGTCGAGACACTTCCAGCTGGTTTCTGCACTTTTGAAGAGGAGAGGACTTATCTGCTCCTCGAGCTGCGTCCTCTCTCAGTTGCTGCATCTCAGCGTTGACAAGACGTGTCGACTTAATCCTGGAGCTGAAGAGCCGCCTCGGGTCAGAAATTTAGGAGTGCGTGTGTGTGTTCTGGCAAAACATGTTTCTATGAAATATGGATGAGATAATTGTCATAATTTAACTTTTTTTTTTTGTCCCTGAGGAATGTGTAGAGGCTGAAAGAAAAACTAAACCAGTGGCAAGTTTTGGAGCTGAGGTGGCAGAAGTCTCAGAAATAAAAGAATTTGTGACTCCCAGTTACACCAGTTAAATGTTTTAAACTGCCCCTAATTTCTTTATATGCTGCATCTAAGGAACCAGACTTTGTAATGTTTTAAAGTGGACGGGGTCAGTTATTATCTAGGGTTTCTGAAGATCTTTCAAAAGTTTTTTTCTTTGGAGTTTGTCTGTTTTTTTTTATAAATCATTTTTATTTTTTAATGTTTAACCCATATTTGTACCTGACATGGCAGCTGCTTGCGCAGTGTGTGCTTGAAAAGTGGAGGACAAAAGAGTTTCATCTTTTGAGTTTAGAAAACTTTTAATGTCTGAATTATTTTTAGTTTATACGCAGTCGATAACCTGAAGATGGCCTTGGACAAAGTCTGGCGCCTTTGACGTAAAATTACAATAACTGAGCGATGACTCAAGACTTTTGCACAGATCTGGAGGTGGAACATGAAGCCTTTTTATTTTCTGATGGTTGTGGCTTTAGCAGGTGCGTCACACGCAGTGCGGAGTGGTTCCCAGTGTCAGGGCTTTGCTGTCTGTAGAAGGTTTTTAAAGGCCGACGTCATTCTTCTGGCCGGAAGATTTTCTCGTGTTGATGAGTCGAAGCTTTGATGCTCTCGTATAAAACGTCAGAGGATGTGGCCGTTAACGAGAAGTCCACATGCCAACGCTGGAACAATGAGTCCCACCAGCTTAAAGTGCGGGTTACCTTCTGGTAAAACATCCCACAAAAACCAGTCGGCGTCCTCACGCTTTGTGTTTTGTGCTCACGGCTGAAGAGTTTTCAGGAACGATGACCTTCGTGAGACCTTGAAAGGTTTTGTTGGGGGGTCTCGGAGAACAGCTTCCCGCTGGCTGTGGTTTCACGTCTTCTCCATGAGACGACTCGACTGAATGGAGCTGGTTTTATGGATGTTTTGGTGTAAGAATGTTAAATGTGGTACCACTGAAGGAGTAGAAGGCCCGGAGCAACTGCCTAAACATCTCCTCTTACATTTCATGATGCTTAACGATGAGGCATGAGCTTCCAGCTGTGGTGGAAACAAAAGACAAACGGCTTGAATTAAACAGCATATTTTATGC